TCCATCATGTTTTTAATTCTTTTTACTTTGAAGTCCTCCCTTCCCCAAATTCCATCTTTCACATATAAATGTAACTTTCATTAGATCATCATTATATATGTTTGTTATTAGAGCTGACACTTGTAGTAAAACTTAGATTAAATGATTATTTTTGCACCACATGTAGTTTTTCATGAAGTCAGTAATTGCCTTCATGTTCATTAGTTTATTTTTCTGTTTGCTTGGTTTTCTATGTATTTACCAACCCCAGACTCTTTGAAAGTTGTTTAAATTTTTCAAGATGCTGAGATTTATCAGGTTTTCTCTCAATTTCATCTTCTTGAAACAATCTCTCCCCAGGCCCTGTAATCTGCTTTGGTGGTCATTGGTTACATTCTCTACTGGGGACATAGCTGGTTTCTAGGATTGCCCTTCTCTATCCGGCTGCTAGATTACCAGTCTCTATCAGGTTCCCTTTGCTTCTTTCTTGTATTAGCTTGTGGGGCCTTCCTCTTGGTTTACTGCCTCTTTTTGCAGCATGCTTTACATATTCCAGCAGCTTCCTGAGAATCAGATGCATGGGAGGTGAATTTTTTTTAACTCTGCTTCTCTGAAAATATCCTAATTGTATATGATTTTTTCCCTCTTTTTGGAAGCTTATAGGATCTTGTCTTTGTCCCTAGGGTTCTAAATTTCATAGCAATGTATCTCGATGTGGGTTGATTATATACAGTCCTGTGTCCTGTCAGTCTGGAAACTCGGTGCCCCTTAAATGTGGGCAAATTTTGTCAGTTTTTTTAACTGATGATTTTCTTTTCTTCTATCTTCTCTGTTGTCTTTTGCTGGAGCTTCTTTTACTTGCTTACTGGGCTTCCTGGATTGATTTCTATTTTTTTCTCATCTTTTTTTTCTTTACTTTCTAGTTTTTCCTCAGCTTTCTAATCTACCTCACCCTTTTTATTGAGTTATTCATCCTTCCATCATGTTTTTAATTCTTTTTACTTTGAAATCCTCGTTTTTTAAATATTATGCTGTTCTTATTTCAGCACTGCAATAAATTCTCTTAATTCTCAATCTGTATACGTATGGTGGTTTTGAAGTTTTCTTCTACTTGCATGGTTACTATCCTCTAAGTTGCTTGCTTCTGTTTGTTTTGGTCTCCCAGTTTTACATAAGGCACATTCTAAAAATTCCTGGAGATCCTTGAATTGTCTGCAGGAATTAGGAGTAGGGGATTCAAATGCTGATTGGAAGCTCTGATGCATGCATAGGGCTTGTCAACTGTGGGCTTCATCTTAGGATGATCATCAGAAACCTCTGATGTCAGAGTTCTTAGTTGTCTCCTCTTGGGCTGGTCAGCTTTTTTCCTTCTCCTGCCTGGAGGATAAAAGCCTGGTTGCTACCCTGGCTGGTGTGGCTCAGTGGGTTGGGTGTTGTCCTGCAAACCTAAAGGTCAGGTCCCTCAAAGGGGATATGTGAGGGACAGCTGATCCATGTTTCTCTCACAGATCTATGTTTCCCTCCCTGTCTTTCTCCCTCTCTTCCACTCTCTCTAAAAATAAATTTTAAAAAAGCCTGGTTTCTAACATTCCAGGAACTAGATAGGAAAGATGGCTGGTGCTCTCAGCATCTGATATGCATACATTCATCTAACCCCCTCAACTGTACCACACACCCACCCCCAGTCTGTAGGCCCTCTCTTTTACTCTCTATATAAAATAAACTTCAAGTTATTTTATTGGTGTGTGGGGAATGGGCATATAGCCCAGGTGTGTGGAGTAGGAGAGGCCATTCAGGGATCTAAGCCCTTCTCAGCCAGGCCTGCTTAGCTTATACTTCCTCCAACCCCAGTTTTGGAGCTTCTAGGGGATAAAGTGAGGTGGATCTTTTTCTCCACTACTAAGTTAAGATTCAGGTTTGCTGTGTCATTTACCACTCTTTCATCTGCATTCTAACTTCCAGTATTTTGCAGCTAGTATCTCCTATATTCTTATAGTATTCTCCCTGTTTTTGTTTGTTTATGGCTTAAAAATATCCTTTGCTGTCCTTTACTTGGGTTTTGGGAAGAAACAAAGCCTCATACATTTAATCTTTTATTTTTACCTTAAAGCATCACCATTGTTGTGGGGGTTTATTAAACCCCCACAGGTCTGAAGTTTTAAAAGAAAAATTCAGTGACTTATGGTAAATATTCCAAAATAAACTTCAGAGAAAGAATGGCTAGACCACAGTCCTTTGATTACAAAAATTCAGTTATTCAAGATTTTTCTTTTAAACCAAAGCTGTTCAAAACATTTAGTCCCTCACCCACAATTTCTTTCCTGTTCTTCCATCTCTGTGCTCCCCACAATTTGCATGGGCTCTCATTGTGCTGTCTAGTCCAAATTTCAAGTTCTTCATGGAGCATCTGCAGGGAGGCATCAGTGTTAAGAAAACGAGATAGCTGTGGGAAGCTAGAAAAATTAGGGAGGTGGGCACAGTACAGCATGTCATGTCAGATCCATGTCATGCTTTTATCAAGACCCCTGTGACTGTCTATAGCCTCTTCTTACTGGGTTGAAATCAGAGCAGCAATTCTCTCTAAAGCTGTGGTTTTCCTTCCAGCCCCAAAGAAGCTGCATATGCCACTGGATTGGCTCTGGTCTCTTTAAAAAGGAGCATGCTTGCCCTGCCTGGTGTAGCTCAGTGGATTGAGCATGGGCCAGTATACCAAAAGGTCACTGGTTTGATTCCCACTCAGGGCACATGCCTGGGTTGTGGGCCAGATCTCCAATAGGGGGCGCGTGAGAGGCAACCACACATTGATGTTTCTCTCCCTTTTCCCTTCCCTTCCCCTCTCTCTAAAAATAAATAAAATCTAAAGAAAAAGAAAACAAGGAACATGCCTTAATCTTGTTAGTTATCTGTGGAAAGAGTGATTTAAAGAGTGGCCAGTCTGATTGCAGAAGCAGAATGAAACTTATAAGCAAGTTTAAGAGGATGGCTAGTTCTGTGATCGGTTTCCAGCCATTCTGAGCATGTCCTTCTATAGTCTTTCTTCAAGTATGTTTCCTCTAATGATTTCCAAACTTGATATATGTCATATTTATTCAAAGTTGATTTCATAGATACTTTTTTCCTTAAGTTTAGATATTTGTTTTCTACTTAAAAATTTGTTTTTCTGCCCTGGCTGGTGTTGTTTAGTACATTGAGTGCTAGTCTACAAACCAAAAGGTTGCTGGTTTGATTCCTGGTGAGGGCACATGCCTGGGTTGTGGGCCAGGTCTCCAGTTGGGGGGGGGCATAGGAGAGGCAACTGATCGTTGTATTTCTTGCACATTGCTATTTCTCTCCCTCTTTTTCTCTCTTCCTTCCCTTCTCTCTAAAAGTAAATAAATAAAATCTTTTAAAAAACTTTTTAAAATTTGTTTTTCAACAGAGGAGTTCTGCAATGTATTTTTTGGGGGGGATCTAAGTTGGTAGTTTCAGAGGGCAATAAATAATGACCTTTTACCTCTGTGAGTTCAGAATTAGTCGAGAGACAAAGAAGCCAAGCATATGGAGATGAAAATCGAACCTTTATAACCCTGGCTGGTTTGGCTCAGTGGATTGAGCACCACCCTGTAAACCAAAAGGTCACTGGTTTGATTCCCAGTCAGGACACATGCCTGGGTCAGGTCTAGTCAGGGGTGCACAAGAGGCAACCACACATTGATGTTTCTCTCCCTCTTTTTCTCCTTTCCTCTCTGTCTAAAATATATAAATAAAGTATTTTTTAATCTCACCTTTAGTATTGATTTTTACTGGTAAAGGACTTTGAAAAATGTCATGTTAGGTCGGCTGACCAATATGGGCATGATACCATTTTGTTTGCCGTTGAATATGACATCTTATCTGCTTACTAACCAAACTGGACAACCTTAGGCCACTCCATGATTGTTTAACCCTCTAAAACTTAAAACAAGAAAGAGAAGAGTGGCTCCTGCTAAAGAATTAGTAAGGGGCTGAGAGAGAGGCTAGGTTGTGTTACTTGACTGGACCATGAGGAACATGAGCAGTAGAGAATTGTTCCACAGTATAAGGTCATATTAATTCTGCTAAGACACACCACCATCAATTTATAGCAGGTGCTCAAAAAAAACTATATAAAATCAGGTTGTATGACACATTCAGATTTCAGAAACATTAGAACCATTTTCCCATCTTAGAAGTAAGGAAGCACAGTGTTATAAGTTATCAACCATTTGTTCCTTTGGTAAAAGCCTTTTATAAGGTTTGGACTACCTGGCAGGCACAAGCATGGCTGCAGTGAGGAGTTCCAGCTGTAATTCCAGCCTTGTTACACACCAGGTGGGAGTCCTTGGCTCCATTGAACCTCTCCAGGCCTGTTTTTCATCTGCTCAATGAGGAAAGGGGGATCAGCCCAATGTATTAACAGATAAAAAGGATAGGGATATAAGACCTGAACTTCTACAATTAATTGTTGTATTTTCATAGTTGGTACTAAAACCCAGGTATCTCCCTTCTTTAGTCTCATTGTATTCTACTATATCCATTTTAGATGGACTTGATTTAGGCAAAATAGCAGAATGTAAGTGATAATTCATTTGTCCATCCATCCATTCATTTGTTCATTGAAGTAAGCATCTTTTTTCTTTTTTTTTTGTGCCAAGTACTGTAATAGGCAATAAGGATGAATGAGACATGTTTTTGTTTCTACAGCAGCATACAACCTATACTTTTATGTATTTGCAGCCATTAGTGACCACCTCAACCACCACCATTTATTTATAGCCTCACTTGAAGGGCTTCAAACTGATTCCTGGAACAGATCCAAACCTCCCTGGCTGCCCTGAAACTATCATCTCTCTTATGCTTCCCCTGAGACCTGGAATAATGTCCCTTCAGTTGACATGACCCGCCTCCAAGAACTGGCTCATACCATCTTAGGACACAAATTCTTCAAGTGCCTAAAGAGAAAATATACAAGTAAGGTCCAGATACATACATTGGCCTCATTAGATTTTTCTTTCTGCTTATAGGGAGCTTAAGCTGGCATTACTATGTAACCATGCCAATGCCAGCCTCCACCTTTACAATTGCAGTGGGATCCTGGACGGAAATGAAGCCAGAGACCTGCTCATCAAATGATCTGGCAGCAGAGAGATCCTTCTCCACTTCTGAGGCTGACTTCAGGTTTGTATTTGGGAACTTGCTGAAAAACAAACACTTGAGAGAGTAGAGTGATGCATTTATTCCAAGCGCTGGGAATGTGAGTCATCCCTGCTGAGAAACTAAACCAAACTATGACTAATCAAAGCAGGAAAAGCCCTACTGGGAGGTAAAGAGAGTTGATAGGCCAAAATGTGGGCATATTGTTTATGCAGAAAGAACAAGAAGAAAGTAAGTATGTATGAAATCCTCTATGCAGTCAGGTGAAATGAAATATTTTTGTGTATTTGGTTAAGTAAACAGAATATTCTGCTTTAATACTTTTCCCTCTTTCTACACCTTTTAACTTTGGATTTCAGTACTTATTTGATCAAAAACACAGCTTAATAAAAAGAAGTTGCTTATCTGATGGGTTCTTTTGTAGTCCACCCTGCTGTTTTGGTTCCAGTGACTGCTGCTACCAGGGTCTTTGTAGGGGCTGTGGGGGTGGTCAACCTCCTTAGGAACATAGGACATAAGGAAGCTGTCACAAGGCTATTGAGTTTTGAGAATCCTGCTGGGTCAGGGCTCTGTTAACTTCATTAGCAATTCCTTCTTTTCAGAGTTGACTAGAGGAAATCAGTTAAAAAAATTTTAAAATTAATATAGACCATTAGATGTTCAACTGTTCTAGCTTTGAGAGTCAAAGGGAAGAAGGAGAATGCAAATAATAGGCTCAGGAGTGTGCTAATCGTGCAGTGTGATGTCATGCTTCCTTCTAGGGCTTTTACTTCTTGCTCAGTTTAATCATTTTTCCTATTTACAGGTAGGCACTAAGTTAGTATCCTGTGGTGGAGAATGCCCAGAGTCAGGGGAAAGATGGTTTTTTCATCCTTGAAATCCAGCTAAGATATGCTCATAGTACAAATTTCTTTTGTGTTGGTCGTTTTGCCATGTTGCTTTTGCTCTCCCTGCACGGACTGTAGTGGTTGGTGTGGTTAGAAAATAAAGCCATCAAGTGCTGCTTATGATGGACATGTCTTATTACCTGCATTTTGCTTTTTGTTGGAAGGAAGGTAATTTCCACTTCTTGGTTGGTAAGTTACCTATCTTGGACCATTTTCTATGAGCTATATAGAGTATTATAAATTGCTTATAGGATTTTACTTATTCCCAAGAGAAGAAGAGAATTGTAGACAGAATGTTACTTTCAAATGGGAATATTTAATTGCTAGTGAGACCCTCTAGTGCTTTCTTTCTCTGTGACTGAGATCACATAGTAGGCCTCATTTTGAAAGTCCAGGCAGCCAAATTTCTAATTAGGGAGGGCAGGTGCCCTGGAGAGTCACTTCGATCTACAATGAACTTGCTATGAGTGAGAAATAAACTTTTTTTGGTTAAGCCACTGAAATAATGGGGATGTTTATTATTACAGCATATCCTAGCCTATCTTGAATTGATACAGAAGCCATTTAATGTTTGAAGTTAGGGAAAGTCTTGGTCTACATGTCACCTTGCTTAGTTCTGAGGATAAATTTGTATGGTAGATAGGCTTTATTCTATTTTTAAAGATAAAATAATGATATTGATACTTCAAACAGCAGCATATTCACATTCGTGTCCCTACTGAGTTACAATACCTGGATTCACATCTGGGTTCAACCCCTTGGAGAGGTGATTCAGAATCTTTTCTGGGGGCTTTTAAAAACTGTGCATTGCATCCATGCCTCACCTGGAGTCTGGTCCACCTTTTCACTTGGAGAGTCAGTGCCGCTGTGATTGAGTCACTGTTATTGATTGGAATGTGTCATGTTGTAACAGAAATAGAGAGCATTTCCAGTGATCCTGAAGGTGTCCTCTCCATTAAGTAGGTATGATTCTTGGGCAAAGCCATACTTTCCTTCTCTGCAAAATAAAGAGTTGCTAGGGGTGAGGGTGGATGGTTGGGGGCCCAGGAGTGTTTCTCAAATTCTTCATGGTGAAGCAACACTGCTCTTCACCTACAGCCTCGGCTGATTTACTGTTAGAATAGGTATGCAGTTGGAAAATGTGTGCCTTGGGAAGGCAAAGAAAGAAATTTGTTATTTTGTTTTTCTAGCCATATTTGCAGAGATCCAAGGCAGGGGAGTGGGCAGCAATCATTTCCTATATGTTCTCTCTGCTGCCCACAGCAGCTGAAATGGCTATTTACTTTTCTGCATCTATAATTGTGAAGGAGGAGGACATGGCTGAATGAAGTGGGGATAGTAGGGGGGAGGATATCTGAATCCCTGTTAGAGTTTATGGGAGGGGGTAAATACGACTCCTCCCTTGTTCACCTGAGTTCAGAACCAATTGAGAAACAGAAGGAGAATGAAGGATATGTTTTATTATTGACAGAAGCTGGACTGAGGTAATACTCAGGCATACAGTATTAATTAGCTTTCTAATACTCCATTTCCAATTTAGACAAACATCTCCACCCAGCTGTACCACTGCTAACCTCCACAACAGAGATGCACACAGCCTGCCTAACAGCCAAAAGCACCCGCTCTGTGGGCAAGCAGATTCTAAAAGAGAAAGTCCCGAGTGACCCAGCCAGTCAGATCAGCTGGAGAGAGAGTGAAGGGTGCCACTGCAGGCAGGGAATCTTGTCCTCATATGGAAATGTGAGGCTTGAGGGTGGTGGAGTCCCTCCCACACTCCTTTCCATGTCTGACATGCTATGACTAAGTTTTCCCTTCATTTATCACTGCGCTTGTCCATCAGCAATGTACTGCTGATAAAATAATAGCTTACATTTGTTTGGTCCTTCCCTGGCTATGCACTTCACGTATGCTGTTTTTAGTCATCAGAGGGTGGCTTTGTGTTTTTATCTATTAAATCTTTGGCTCCATACTAAGTTTGCCAACAAAGGTGCTCTGAAGTGCCAAGTGCAGTGGTGTTTTTGGTTATGTTCACATCTGGTCCCCTTGCCTTTCCCAACCCCCCTCTACTTCAGATCTTCCGAAGATCACTAGTTCAATTCACGTAAATGTAACGTTTACAGAGGCCTTATGTGCCACAGGCTTTCATTTGCCTAATGTGTTCAGGCACATTAGGGTCCCAGAAATTTGGCCAAAGTATTGGTCACTGAACTTTGGATCACTGTTCATGTGGGCCAAGTTATAGGAAGAACAGTCCTTCCTCCAGCTCCAGTTCCACATATTTCCAGCCCACTCTGGCTGAGCATTTAGTAAATACATTAATTACAGGGCACTTAGATAAACTGCTGAAATTTTATTAATTTTATTTGGCTGCAGTATAACCTTCTCCAACCACAGGGGAATCTTTGTATTACATTTAATCTCTTGAGGTCTTTGTTAAAGCATTGTCTTCACTTTGGGGCCATACACTTTAAGCAGGACATTTGGATAAAGTCCAGAGGAACTCATCAGCAAAAATGATTAAAAGCGTGGAAAACATGCGGCATGGAGCATAGAAAAGCATGGGAGAGGTACTGAGGCTGCTAAGCCTAAAGAAGAACAGACGTGGTAGAGGACACGAACTCGATGAAAAGTTGGACTTCGGAGAATGAGATCCTGTTTCTATCTCTTTGAAAGTCTAGAAAAGAAGGAATGGTGGGTACAAATCATATGGAAAAATTCCAATGTCCAGAATACCCTTCATTTCACTTTGAGAGGAGCCTTTCCATATCTTTCTGGCTTGATTAGATTTGGTTTGTCCAGCCCTTGCTCCCTGAGAGTATTTCAGCTCTCTGTTTCATGTTGCAAGTATTTCATCTGGCTTTGTAATATACCAAATGCCTGAGAAAAAACACATCTGACTTTCAGACACTACTATATCATCATTTATGTTGACATGGTCAGCAATGCGTTGGGGGCTGGTGGTAGCAGTTTGAACACTTGTGATTTTTAGGAAGTATCTGCTCTGCTAACTAAAATGTTAATAAATTGTGTAAACCTAAACTGATCAGAATTAAAAACTTTTTCTTCTAACAAAACTGTAAATTCCTCAAAGGTGGGGTCAGAGATTTATTCAGATGTATGTACATAGCAGCTCCCTCTGGAGTGCCTTGAATACAGCAAGAATACAGGAAATATTTACTGAGTTTTCACATGAACCAAGGAAGGGGTTGTGGAAAAAGAATACCCATTCCCTGAGGAGACTTTCCAGTGATTTCTTTTGAACCTAAGACAGAGAAACATTTGTGTGAGGTGGTTTCAGTACAGCCCTGCCTTGAAATAGGAGGATAGCTGAAGGAGAACCTTTTGAGGCTCTGAGTAAAACACAGTCATTTCTTGGAGAGACCTCTTGTATAAGAGGGGACCAATGGCCTGGTTTCCATCATTTACCAGCCTAACGTATATTTCACCCTTCTTCCCAGCCAGTAATATTAATAGGCAATATTGACACGGAGGAACAGGAAACTGGAGAACCACAGGGCAGCTGAGCTCAGCTTTAGGAAAACTCCAGATTCCAAATTTACTTAAGAAGCATAATGAAGTATGTGGAGAAGGAGAGTCTGGAGGGAGGAGGTTGTGATGATTCACGGTGTGATGAATAGTTGTTATTCTAGGAATGTTGTGTGTGTTAATTGGGAAAATGTATATAAATTATTCAGAACAGTGCACAGCACATAGTAAGTGTTAAATGACTAAGCAGCAGTTCTGGTAGAAATTATTTGTTTATTACTCTTATCATTAGTATTATAGATTATTAATAATTAACAATTAAATATTATAACCTTAGTTATTAAAATGTTTACTCTGATTACAAGTCTGGGCACAAGGAACAGCTATTTACAAATTCTTCATTTGTTGATGATATCAAGAGTATATCGGAGCAGGTACATATACAGTGATTTGTAATTGAAGGTTAGTCTGAAGGAAAGATAGAGCATCTTTGAGTTAATACTGGTTCTGTGGAAGACTAGTCATGACTTTATAAAAGTATTCCTTCACCACTTCAGGAACATGGCTGTTATATGAAGAGGGGCTCTCATGGTAAGTTGTCATAGAATCATAGTGCCATGAAAAACCTTGGAAACCATTTTAAGTTTTTTGTTTTTTGAAATATATTTTATTGATTATGCTATTACAGTTGTCCCATTTCCCTCCCTTTATTCCCCTCCACTCTGCACACCCCTCCCAGCCAAATTTCCCTCACCCCCTTAGTTCATGTCCATAGGTCATACATATAAGTTGTTTGATTTCTACATTTCCTTACTATTCTTAACATCCCTGTGCCTGTTTTCTACCTACTATTTATGCTACTTATTCCCTTTTCCTTTTCCCCCATTCTCCTCCTCTCCTTACCTACTGATAACCCTCCATGTGATCTCCATTTCTGTGGTTCTGTTCCTGTTCTTGTTGTTTGCTTAGTTTGTTTTTGTTTTTATTTTTTTAGGTTCAGTTCTTGATAGTTGTGAGTTTTGTTGTCATTTTAGTTCAGATTTTTGATCTCCTTCTTTTTCTTAGATAAGTCCCTTTGACATTTCTCATAATAAGGGCTCGGTAATGATGAACTCTTTTAACTTGACCTTATCTGGGAAGCACTTTATCTACCCTTCCATTCTAAGTGATTGCTTTGCTGGATAGAGTCATCTTGGATATAGGTGTATCTTGGATGTAGCAGCTCAAATTGGGCCCTTCTGGTGCTGATCCCTGGGTGGGTGGTTTTGTGTGTATTCTATGACCCTGTGGGTCTCTCCAAGGAACTCTCCAATGAACTTTCCTGTGAGGCTGGGAGTTTCTACCACTGCCACAATTCCCACAGGTTTTTTTAGTCAGAGGTTTTGAGGTTTTTTTCCCCCTTGCTAGAACCCGGGTTTCCTGGTCTGTCTAACTCCCCAGTTGTTCCTCCTGATTTATCCAGACAGAAGTGTGGGACTGCCAGCTCCACCAGCCACTGCCTTTTCACTAGTCCTCTCCACCCAGCTGCATATCTCCACCGTTCTTACTGGTCTGGATGAATCTTTCTTCTTTAACTCCTTGGTTATCAGATTTCCATACAGTTCAATTTTCTGTCAGTATTGGTTGTTTTTTGTTTTTAAATTTTTTGTTGTCCTTCTTTTGGTTGTATGAGAAGGGAAAGTGTATCTATCTACACCTCTATCATGGCCCAAAGTCTGTTTGTTTTTAATACAAGTATAATTAACATGCAGCAGAATGAACAGCTCTTAACTGTTTGGCTTGATTAGTTTTTGACAGTTGTATGCATGTTAACCCAGATAAAGAACATTCCATCACCCCAGTAAGTTCCTTCACACCCCTTTCCCATCAGCTCCTTTCCCAGCATCCTCTTCTGTGAGACCATGTCAGAGGTGAGGAAAAGAGGCCCCAGAAACTGAATGGTTTGCCTCAGGTCACAGTTAGCCAGTTGTTTAGGTTTCCTGGTCCCATGTTGGAGCCCACGTGTGGCCTCCTAGATGCTGTTTCCATTTTTATTGGGATCCTTAATGATCTTACTTACCCATAGCTTGATTGTCTTAAAGTTCTACATTTTCTCTGAGGCTTTAATTACAAAAAAAAAATGGTGCCAATTCGCCCAAATAAAATGACCTTTATTGCCTTAGATAGTGCCATTCCTCTCCCGAGAGAATTTAACTCACCTTTTCTCTTGGACAAATTGGCTTTTATTGTATATCTTTGGCTACCTCAAATTATTCTCCAACTTTTGAGGTTCTTGATCTCCAAAAAATAGTCTTGCCCCATGATATATTTCTAGACAAGCTAATGGAATACCTCCTTACAAAACTGTACTTCGGTAGGTGGAATTTAAACTTATGTTCCAAGTCTGTCCTGAAGATGCCTCTTCATTTCCAATTTTTCCAATATTTAAAGTGGTCTGAAAGCTTTTCAATAGAATTTAAGCTCAAATTACCACAGCCCATTATGTACCTATATAAATACATTAGGAAAAGGTTTTGTGGTGGTTAATTTAATAAATGGTGGTTTTTCAGTTTGTGAGAGCTTTGATTAAATTGCTATACCAATACACTTCTAGTCATTAGGTGGACATCGCAGCCTTTTTGGTTAAATGGTTTACCAGTAGTCACCTACCCTCACTTTCTCCATAAAGCAGGGTTATCAATCTAGAGACTTTGGTTAGCATTCAATATCAGCACTTATATTCTTCCTGTCACCTTATTCTAGGAGAAATGTTTATGGGTATTCCCCCATTATTTTTCCCCAATTGTGCTAAAATGTCATCAGTGCTAGGAGTTGTGTTCTGTGTACTACAAGAAGCTGAGGCTCATCTCCACACTGTGTGGCTCTTCTTGGGCAGTGCTGATTGTGGATGGATGAAAGGTGCTTCAGAAATGTGTAGAGGCTTTATTGTCACAGTTCACCCATCTTGGAACATATCAGTATTTTAAGGGTTTTCTTTCCCAGTATTCACTGGGAGTGTAATAAGCCCCATAGTTAGAACTATAATTTATAAATTAAAAGTACAGGGGCATTCCATTATGTTTAAATAAAGGACCTGTTAGCAGGTGAAAAAATAGAGTTTCCTCTTATGTTAGTTTCTTTGGGTAGATAAGTTCTCTTGAGACCTATGAGTCAGATTCTAGGAATTCTTTTTCAGCTCCACCTTTGGTAGAATAACTGACAGTGATGAGATGGTACAGGCTGGACTCTGATCTGTTTCCTTAAAAGGAAAGTGGATTGGGGAAAGTATTGTATCACAAGTGCTTCTGTTTTTCTTCACAGCACAACTTTTTTTTTTTTTTTTTTTACTAATTTGAGTGAGAGAGACAGAGAGACAGAGAGAGAAACATCAGTTTGTTGTTCCACTTATTTATGTTTTCATTGGTTGATTCTTGTATGTGTCCTGACCAGGGATCAAACTTGTAGCCTTGGTGTATGAGGACAACACACTAACCCAACTGAGCTACATAGCCAGGGTTTTAACAACACAAGAAAACCTAAAGTACTATTCAGGAGAATGAGTGCTGTTCTTTTGAAAAGTTGGAACCTGTACTGTCATTTGTTTAATTTTTCTCTACCTGACTCCACATATTTTATTCTAGTAAATTTCAGAATGGGATCTTTAATTTGGTTACATCATCCCTTAGTTTCTGAGTTATGAATCATCCCTAAGTTAGAGAAGATTTTTTCCATAGTGGTATTTGAAAGCACAACTTTAAGGGCAGAAATTGTTTTTTGTTTTGATGGAGTTTGTTTTGTTGTTTTGAGTCTTAGGGCTTTTTTCCCATTTATTCTAAAACAAGATTTCACTACTTTCACTTAGCTTAGATTGAAACTACTCAATCAATTCAACATATCAATAAGTATTTTAACCTCTGATTTTTCGCCACTACTTAGATAGAGACAAGCAAAGAACTCAAGTAACTGTTTTTGCTTGTGGACCTGTCTAAACTGCTATCTCCTAGAAGCTGTCTATGAAAATACCTCACCTCAACAATGAGGAGAATAAAAAGTACACATATTTATTGTGTTCTTCCCAGGTATGCTGGCATTTGTGGCCATGTGGAATACCCCTGCCGCTTCCAGAATACTTCTGCCGCCACCCAGGACATCATTCCTCATCGAGTCTTTGCCCCAGTGTGCCTCAAAGGTGCCTGCCAAGAGACCCTTCTGCAGCTGCTCTGCCCATGCCTCTCAGCAGCACACTCTGTCCTGGGAACACACCCCTTCTCCAGGCTGGATGTGCTCATCGTTCCTGCCAACTTTCCAAGTCTGGGGATGGCCAGGTACATTGTTCTGTTGTGGCACTTGGAGAAAATATGCTTTAGAAATTCTTTGACTATTTCTTACTTTTTCTGAGCTGTGTCAGAGCTGTCATTTGGTTAGGATGGACGAACCATGGCTACTTGTATTTGGATATCTCATTGCTGCTATGAGGGACAGTTTGTGCATAGACTCTATCATGCATGAGCCTTTGGATGTCTTGGGTTCAATTCAGCTGCCTTAAAGATAAAACGACATTGTTGCTGGGATTAAGAAGACATTGTGCCCCCTGAGTGATTGATGTATGTTGGATTGTGGCTGATCAGTGGCTGGTTAGTTTAGGTGGTGAGAGCATAATGGTAATGATCCTAAAGTCATAGCTCTGGGCAGGGTGAACTACGTGGTTCCAGGGTCATAGGCTGCTCACCTAATCCTAACCAGCTGTCTCATCCATTCTCACCATTGGTCACAAGGACAATGACTTGAGAGCCCCTGTGTTATAGAGACTCTGGATGGATCAGAGTAAATCCATCACCACTGCTAGAAAAAACAGCTCAGAGCAGATGGTGTCTTGGCGGTGGCATGGCAGGGGAGGTACTTGTCTTGCTACTAATTTTTAATACACTAAATATATTGTTCTTATTGTTGTCTCAGTTTAGTTCCTATAGAAAATCAAAACCTGCAAGTTGAACCTTCCCCTATATATTATTTATATCTGAAATTCATTCACTAACACCATTGTTCATTCAGTGATATGAAGCTAGGTCTCACTCAGCTTTTTTTTAATTATGTACTCAGGATTTTACTTGGTTATATATATTTCTATTTGAAAGTCTTAATTATTAACAGTGAATATGCTTGACTAAGGATGGGAAAAATAAGCTCATCAAAACATGTGACTTTAAGTTTTTCCCTATTAGTCAAGGAAATTCCTGCTGCCAATTAATTTCCATGCTTTTAAGCAGCTGTCATTTGTGGTGTTTTCCCTGAAAACTGCACATATTCTTAGTAAAACCCATGGGTAGAAAAGAACTGTCCAGAACATTTGCTTTTGATCTATACTACATACATATACTTTTTAAAAGCTGGCTGGGTAGTCTTAATCCTTGAGGAGGTCTGAGAAAGTCATTTAGACTGATTTTATCCTATATTTATGAAGATAATGGGAATGTAGAAACTAGGATAATTATATATATTTGGTTACATGCATCATATAATTGTGTTGGATGTCTATATATAGAATTTGTCTTAACAAGGGGGCTTCTTTGGTCCTTTGAAGAGGCTGCTGGACTTAATTTAAACAGAATTATTGGCAAAGAAAGGGTTGTTCATTAAATGTTTCTCAGTTTTGAGGAGCCATATTTATTTGGAAGTTTTTAGCACTTTATGAGAGTCGCAGTTTTTCAGGGCATGTTCGCTAACAGTTCCAGTTGTGACCTGAGGGAACCAAAGGCCGTGTATTTTTCATACAGAGGACTTTGTTTTCTATAGCTCCTTCTTGACATCATCCTGCCCAAACCAGAATTTGTTGACCTGCAGGCCATTCTATAAAGCTTTTCTTTCAAGTTTTCATGCCCAAACAGGTAGGCTGTGTATTTGCTGCTTTTTGAGATATTTAAAGTGATTTAAACATGCTTAACTGTATTTTTAAAGCAATAAGCCTAAGTACCCTAAGGCTAAATGGTACTGGGCACAAATGTCAAAAAATGTGATGGTGATAATAACTTAGCAGCAACAAGACTGCTTTTATGCTTAAAAACAGGAGAACCATACATGTAAAATTTGTGGTTGGTTGTCAAATATTTTTTCCATTTCTTTCTTTCTTTTTTAGACTGTGGAAATAGTTTTCCCTGGCCTAGATATTTTCCTGAGCTTAGCCTGTATTTGAGCCATGGAAGGGGGATTGTGGTATCTTCCACTGCCAGTGGGGAGGGTTGGGGGAACACTCTGTTTTTCCTAACTCTGACCTAAATTGATTCCACTTGTTTGGCGGGACTCTCTTGGGATACCAATACCTTGAGCCACATGTGACTAAGTGGGGTTTATGACTCAGTTGGCTCCCAGGGCCCTGCTGCCTTATTTATGGTCTAGGCTTTGCTTGGGGCTCTGCAGAGCAAAGCTGGGACAAAAATGACAGTCTTCTAGGTTAACTCTGTGCCCTAAATAGGAATAGGAAATCCCAAGGCTAGTAGGAACCATCTGAAAAGACCTCCACACCGAAACTTGTCCTTGTCCTGTTTGTTCTGTGCACTAGACATCAAAAGATTTCTTGGTAAATTAAATGGTTGTTTCCTGAGTTCATATTTTATAAACATATATGCAAGATTATAAATTCCATACCTCTGGACTTCTTTACTTATTAGATCTTAATCATAATGAATACCATTTTATACCATTTTAGCATTCTTTTTCAGTAAATGACATTAAACATTCCCACATTAACTTAAAAGGATAAATTATTAATAACCATTTTAAAGAGCTTTAAAATTTTTTGGATGGTATCTTTAAAAACATCAATTAGAATTTGCAATGCTTTTAAACATAACAGTAACTAGAACATTTATCAAAACTGCACTTAATGGTTTTTGTCACCTAGTAATATAATAGGACCTATGACCTATTAACACACCCCTCCAATTCTTTTCTGAATCACTGTTCCAGGGAATAGATGCCTTCAAAGTTGCATTCCGAATCTTTTCTCATTTAGTCAGTATGAGCTTTCTGTTTTGTTTTATTTTTGCCTTCCAGAATGGCTGAATCTTCTAGATAAAGAGCTGTGGAATGTACATTTCTTGAGTTGTGTCTTACTATGAGGTGTATATGAAGATCTGAATGTATGTTAAGTGAATCTCTAATGTATAGAAAGCTCTTTTCATGTCAATGTAATGTGTTCTACCATTTTTATCACATCTTGGTATTTTTTTTAGGTGTCTCAGCTGGGGATTAACTAGTGAGCCTAATTTCCTAGATAGTGAGAAATACATGAAAGGAGCTAGCTCATCATCATAGTTACTCTTTGTTATATAATAATAATGTTAAAGGAATAATATCGTGGAACCAGATTTATGACAGTCTTACCTCTGAATGTGCTTATGATAAATACTTTGCTTTATCGTTTGTCTTTCAGCAGTTCATAATTACATGTCATGGGGCATAATTAGTTTGGCAGAACTATCATGCTGATGTCCAAATACATTACTTTTTCCTCTTTTTTCCATTTCATTTTCAAGAATCTCGTACAAATTATTTCAGAATGGTTTTCTATTTAGAGCTCTGAATAAAAAAGCCATGTCTTCTGTGGCTCTCCTTCACAGCTGTACCTTCACATGTAGTTTCAGTCCTGGTCCCACTGGGGAAATCTGAAAAACAAACAAACAAACAAACAAACAAACAAACAATACTGTAGCAGTGTACTTCATGATAGGTCACAGACTCTGCTTTGGCCTTTTCCCACTGGCTCTGTACCAGATAGTCTTAATCATCTGTTCATTATTTATTCATTCTTGTAATAAAGTTCTGTTATGTGGCATAATGTGTGCCAGGTAGGATTTAAGATGCTAAGTCCACAAAGGGGAATAAGATCAATGACATCTCTCTCTGTCCACATGGAACCTACTTTCTAGTCAGGGGAGAAAAGAGTATAATAAAAACAAATAATTAAGATGTGTACTATGAAGAAAGTAAGTGATAGAGTGACTTGTAATAAGTAGCTTTGTTTGGTTGGCGAGGCAAAGGCTTCTTTAAGGAGTGACATTTGCAGTGAGACTGGAGAATGGGAAGGAGCCAGCCTTGTGACAGTCTGGTGGAAAAGGAACCCAGGCTGAGAAAGTTCAAGTCCAGTGGCCCCAAGGTGGGGACCATTGTAATGGGCTGGAGGAGCAGAAAGAAGCCCAGCATAGCTGGAGGACAGTGAGCTTTTAGAATGAGCTTTCCTTCACCCACTCCTTAAACTCATTTTTGAAGCTGGGAAATTCACTGGTCCCTCAAGGCTTGGGTCACCTGAGCCACCCACACGCCAGTATAAGGAAGAATGAAGAGAGCCACTAAGAAATGGTAGAGGTGGAGTGGACATTATTGATTCCAGGCAGTCAGGTGTTACAGGGAAAGAGGTCAAAACTTCTCTCAGTTTTCTGGGGCCAACAGTTCCATGCCATCTTGTGACAGGCAACTTAGAAGCTAACTTAGCTTAGCAACTTGTTTCCTTAAGCAAAATTCTCCATTACTAGGATGTTAGAGCACCTGGTGCCTGAACTGGCAACTCCCTTTGTGGAGAAGGGGCCGGTCTCAGATCATGTTTCCTTTCCCCAGACGCTGCTGAATGACTCCTTGTAAGTTTTTTTGATACAGTAGGTCACAGGGAGGGAGATTGTGTTTACATGTTTCCTCATCTTTACCCAAGGATATTTTTTCATTGCTTTTAGAGAGAGAGAAACATCAATGCAAGAGAGAGAGAGAAGCATCTGTTATTGGTTGCCTCCTGTACACACCTGAAGTAGAGATTGTATGTGCCCTGACTGGGAATTGAACCCACAACCTTTTGGTTACAGAATGGTGCTCCAACCAACTAAGCCATATTGGCCAGGGCTGCTTGTTCTAATTTTTAAGCTATTAGTTTGGTTCTCAGGTGTCATTCAGTCCACTGAGCCACACCAGCCAGGGCTAATTTTTAAGCTTTTAAAAGACTGAACAAAAATAGGATTGGTAAATAAAGAGAATAGAGAAATAATAATCAATTTAATATCTTAAATATCTTCAATGTACTTCACAGTAGAGAAAAGCTCCCTATAAAGCTCCCTATTACACATGGCTTATTCTTAAAAGATTTGATTGTGCAATAAAAGGCTTCTGAATGCTTATAGTAGTTACTGACTATTGCATGCACAGTTTTCTTAAGTATCTCAATTTGCAAATAAATGGTGTGCACACACATGCCCAAGAATGAATGTAACTAACTTTCCCTCCTCCACTCCTCCTGGGGTTAGACAGGGTGTTGTCCTGTTTATTCTTATCTCCCAGCCAATGT